CCACTCCTCGGAAGGAAGGTTGGGCAATCCTACTTCCGTAGTGATACTGCCTCGGAAACCCAAGGAGGGGTTGCTATGAGTCGGGGCCGACTCGACGGCATATAACAACAACAACAACATGGTCTGTCACTGGACTCTGCTTGTTTGAATGAATGAATGTACAGAGTAAATGAAAATGTACTGTGTAACTTTTTAACTTTTTTTCTCACACAAGGTCAATTCTCCCATAATTTGAAAGACATTGAAAGTCAGGTACATGGATATAAACTGCAAAGGTCCCTACAACATGCAGGAGTGGTTTTTAGTGTACCTCTCATGCAATACTAGAAATGAAATTAATCTGCACATTCAGAAAGGTATTTGTCTCAATACGCAAAGCTGCAATCATTAAATATTCACTATTGTAGACCAAACTAACATAACATTAACAACAAAGGATATAGTCACCATTCGTATTACTTTGCAGAACTGAAGAGAGGGATGTGGTTAAAAAATACTTTTTCTTAAGGGGATATAAATTAAAATCTTTCATTTACCTGATTCTTTTTTAAGTTGGAGAGTTTTATACATTAGCTAATAGATTTGATCCTATATCATCTAGGTAAGAATAATCTTATGTTTTAAAGTGAAAGGTATTAATGTGCAAAAGAAAATTATATATACTATATACAAACATATATTTAAGGTAAGAAATCACTGACAAACTCCAGAAAAAGTTCTTCAGGAAAGGAAAACAATTAGGCAAAAGGTAAGCCATTAAATGTACATATTCAGGCTGAAATACGAGGAAGCAATTAGAAACACTGGGTGTACATATGTATCAGAGAGTGAAAAAGATAGGGAAAAGGCAGTAATGACAAAAAAAAAAAAAGCCAGAAAGCAAAAAAACAAACTGAAGAGTCCATTTTTATGTAAAATAAAAGAAAAAAGGAGTTGAAAAAACAAAAGAAAAAAAGCAAAACAGGCTATTTTTGGTGATGACTAAAAACGCAGACGGAACACAGAAATAACACCGTTTCAAAGGCATACCTTAAGATCCTTGGGCAATCCTACTTCCGAAGTGATACTGCCTCGGAAACCCAAGGAGGGGTCGCTATGAGTCGGGTTTGACTCGATGGCACATAACAACAACAACAACAAGATCCTTGGGTAGTTTTCAAAGGTTTATTAACCTGACTCAAGCCAGGCGGGGATTTTAGACCTGAGCCTTCAAGACTCCACCCATCCTCCCATCCAGCCTGTCCTGTGGCAAACCTTCACCCTTTCACCCCCAGGCTCTGGCACTTGTACAGCGTGCACATTCCCTAGGACACTACAGAGGCTTTCCGCAATGCACAAAGGTGGACTATCCAAACTGGGGCTGTACAACTTTCTCACTTTGAGTTCTAGGATTCAAAAAGGTTTTATAAGCACTGATGATGCCCCACTCTCAAGTTATATTTAGATTCATTAAGTTTGTATGATTAAATGTGTTAAACATTAAAAAATGAGCAGCAAACAATTTGCAGAATCTTTATTTTAAACAGAAGTCATTAATAGTTGTTACAAACTGAATTAAATGAAACTCAAGTTGGTGATCTGAAATGGATTTAGAGGCTTACCTTTGCACAGCATAATTTGTAATCTTTTCCCTTCTCAACACTTAGAAAAAGATCACTAAAATTATCAGCAGTTCAGTGGTCATTCTCACTCTTGAAAAAATCACTAGCAGAACTTCTACCTTTCATCATCAAAACTATCACACAAACTTTGTTTTTTAACGATGCAAACAAACAAATATATTTAAATATTGCAGACCATGTATAAGCAGTTTCCAAACTGTATCTTTTGCATTTCTCCTTCTGTTAGATGGTCTCTAAAAATAGCTTGCATTTCTTTCATTTGTTCCCTTGTCATTGCAATCCTTCTCTAAAATACTGCACCTATTTCAACAAGCATGTATCTGCCTCCTCCTGGGATCCTGTCTTCCTCATCCACTTCCCCTAAGTCCGCTGCTTGCTCTATCAGTGCTCACTGAAGGGGATGAACAACCAGCAGGAAGAGCCGAAGCTAGGGGTTCGGTCTTTAGAAAAGTACCATCTGGTGGCAAAAATGAGTAACTGAAGCTTTGCTGTTAAGTAAAATAGGTCACAGGTAAAATGGACGGTCTGTTCTTCTTCTGCTTTTCAATATATTTTCCAGGACTGTATTTCAGTGAAAAAGCTAGAACTGTTAGTAAAGTGTTCTAAAATACTGTACCTGTAACCTTAATAATCAATTCTATAAAGGCATCAAAGTATCCTCGCATGTCAAAAATACTATATGGAAATGTATCAAAAATCCAAGTATGTGTCAAAGAGGAATAAAAACAGTATTTCATGAATTACATTCAATAAATAATACTTTCTAATATAGTGTTCTGTGGTTTTTGTAAAAATATTTAAAGAAACATTCAAAACAAATCTACATGGCACAGACAAGTAATGAATGCACAACTGAAAAATATACTGAACATCTAAATGAAAACTCCAATGGATTCCTTCTGAATATTATTCAGATGAATGATACTGGATATATCCAAATGGGTTCTGAATATCATTACAACGAATAACACTCAGCAGTCATTCATCTCTTTTTTTTTTCGTTAAAAACCACAACACTCAGCATAATGTGGGACACCAATCATTATTTCAGTATAATTTAATAACTCTTCATAATTTCTATGGTTTTTGGGTTTTCTACCAGTGTAACAATATGAAACACCAATAGTTTCCTGTATTGATTTTCTTATTCATATAGTTCAAAGTGACTATGCCAGAATATTGCTATACACCTTCTCCTCACTTATCTACATGGTTAGGTGCCAAAGACCAGGTTGTTACATGAAAATTGGCATTATATGAAAATGGAAGATGAGCACATCATTACATGACTGCCAAATTACATCAGTATGTAATTGCTAAACCACTGAGACTCATGGCCCAGCTAGGTTGATACATAACCTTAACCATCACACCCAGTGCTACTCTTACTTGCACCTTAGCATTTGTTACTGCCAGATGTACGTCGTTAATGTGCACAAGGGGTAGATGGATTTTTTTACTACTGTCACAAATATGAAATGTCAGATAACGAGATAGTTGGTAAGTGAGGAGTGGGTGTACTGGAATGCAGGGTGGGGCCTATGACTAGAGTCTTGATGTTGTGTGTATGTGTTAATAACAAATACCAGAGTTTCATTCAAATCAAACATAAAATACATTACAAATCAACTGGCTGGAGCGCTATGATTACAATGGGATGGTGATATTAGGAGCAGAGATAAATTCTCATACTTAAAAATCACTTGTATTATCTCTTGTATGAGCATCTTTTAGTTCAGTGTTTCCCTACTTTTTTTTT